GTTGGGTCTTGTCTCTTAATTAAGGGATGGGATGATATCAGTCATTAAGCAGCCGAGTCTCACATCATCATCCTAACTCTGCTCCCACAGAGTCTTTGCTCCAGGGGCCTCAGCTGCCCACCCCATAGTCCTCTTTCGTGCCCGGCTCTTGGAAATCAGCGGGCGCTCAGTTGGGGCACAGGCTGTTTCAGACAATTGGCTAATGTTCTTAGACTCCATGGCATGAATTGTCCATTCGCATGCAGATCCTAGACTCTGTCTCTGGGAGATAAAATTCTAAGACAGAGACCTCCTAGAGCCAGACCAGAGCATCATCAAAACTGAACTCTGTCTGGGCTGGGATGGTTATGCCCAGAGAAGTCGTACCAGAGGGGTAGACTAGCAGCTTATATCTGGGAAGAACAGGGCTTTCTTCCACATTTCATGGGCTCAGCTGACTTCATTTGCCCCAGGGTATAGGCTTAGTGCTATATGGATTTTCATGTTTCCCATTTCTCTCTCCCTTCAGGGCCCCCATGCTGCTTGGGCCTTGTACCAGTTGAAGAGGTGGACAGTCCTAACTCCTGCCAAGTGGGTGGAGGAGACTGGTGTTCCCAGCACCCCGCTGGGGCCTACATCGGGCAGGAACTTGGGATGCGGCTCTCCCCCAGCCCACCGGTGCATGTAGCTTTTGAAACACCACCTCCTACAATTTAGGCAGAAACCAATATCCCAGAAAGACTATTGTTTTTAAAAAGAGAAAAAAATTGGTATTTATTTTTCTATAATAGCCATATTTATATATTTATGCACTTGTAAATAAATGTATATGTGTTTTTATAATTCTGGAGAGACACAGAGAATCCTACCCATTGAGGTGTGAGGGGGAAATCAAAGATGCCTGATAACAGGATTCCACCTGGCAAGAGTAACACAGACTAAGGAGGCAGCCCTTCACCGGACACCTCTGCCGCTGCCCAGGAGGCCACATGAGGCCCCCAGAGAAGCTGCTGAGAGGAAGTCTTAGGCACACTGTCTGCAACAACGATGAGGGAAAAGCAAGGGCCCCAGTGTCACAGGCTGGAGATGCTCGTGAAGATGGCTGGACCGAGTACTGCAGGAGACCTTTTCAGAAGATGCTGATGAGCACAGACTAAGATGTGTATTGTTCTATAAGCATTAACAAGCCTTCCAGAATCAATAATCTGTGGCAACCTATCTCTGTAAAAACAAACACTGTAACTAACTTCTAAATAAATGTTTAATCTTCCCTGTAACCTTCAACATAGTCACGGATGAGTCAGCATCCTCTTTAGATGTTAGGATTCAGTTCGAGTATTTGAAGAAAATCTCCACTTGTGACATCTCAGCTCTGGCAAGAGTTTGAGAGCTGGGAAAGGTAGCAGATGTCTAATTCTTTGTCTTTTTAAGTATTGTGTTAGTAACTGTTTAGTCCAAGAGGGAGACAGTGTGAAGCAGTTAAAGCAGCAGATTTGCAGTTCTCTAACTGAATGGACTCGAGGCAAAGCTTTGGTCACACAGATAGGTGTGGATGATGGAGTATTTTCTCCAGAATGCCATTTAGTTAAGTGCTAGGCTGCACGTGTGGTGCCTGATAAAACTCACTTTCCTTCTTTCCAAAGATAGACCAACATTGCCAGAGGAGTTGAATCAGTAGTTGTTTAAAATCAACACTTACTTACGACCATACAGCCACAGGATCAACCTTTATGCATGCAACTGGCACTAGCTGGAGGATAAAGCCTTGCACAGAAAGCCCTAATGCTCAGCCATTCTCAGGAGGGAAATCTGTGCGCTGGGCTTCAGCAAAGGTGAGTGACAGATGAAGGGCAGCCTGAGGCTGTCCATCTAGGTAGGAGTCCTGGGGCCAGACTTGCCCACCCTAGTCACACCGGGGAGAAACCAGCCTCTCAGACAAGTGCACCCTCTACTGGCCGGAAGGGACACCGGGCCTGGGCTTACCTTTGTCGCATGTTTTTTCTGTCCAACAGCTAAACTAGAAAAAGCGTTCTCAGCAAGATGTGACATGATCTTCAGAAAAGTTGTATTTAAAAAATATCTTAAGAAATAAAATGAAGGACTTCAAGGAACATGGAAATGATAGAAGAAATAAGCTGTGACTTGAGCCACGACCCTGCACTGTGGGCCTGAAAGTCACTTCCAAGAGTAGGACCGGGCCAATACTCTGTCTTCACTCAGCTAATCCAGGGCCTCTCAGAGCTGGGCTGTAACTCACCTCCTAGCCCACTGGCTTTAAATTTTATTAGATTTTTTGCTCCTTGATGACCCTATGCAGTTGTCAAAGTCAATTTTGGTGAACTTTTAAGGAAATGATATGTAAAATTGCTTTCTGCACAGCACTGGAACCATAACAATATTGAGTGGTTTTTGCTCTCAAGGAAAAAAAAAAACTAGGAAAGAAAAAATCACTCCTAAGGCACACTAAATGAGATAAATATGCATATTTACCTTAGTCAATTGCGGGAAAAGACCAAAGTTATCAGGCCTCTAAATTTTAGCCTAGAAAATTAAGCAGCTTAGATACTCAATTTCATTGTATTTTCTATTTTTTTAGATTCCGAGTAATTATTATAGTCCTTTTTAAAAGACTGATTCAGCTGGCAAGGGCTTTATAATGTACCAAGGGAAGAGTAAGACCTAGTGGGCAGGCGCTCCAGAGGGTGGAGAGCCCAGCTCAGGCCCAGAGCCCTCTCTAGGCAGCAGTCCTCCAGCACAGGACAGCCGGACTTGGCAACAGTGAGCATCTGTGACACAGGGGCTTCACTCAGCAGCTGCTTTTTCTTCTAGTGTTGGGTTTGGAGGATACTGTGGAAAAGGGTTCAAAATAGCCACGTTACATTCGCAGTTGACCCAGAGGTAACACGTTGTGGATGGATATTGGCCTCACTCAGAAATAAGGCGGCTTTCTCTGAGACACAGCCAGAGGCAGAGAATAGTCTGATCAGGGAAGCAGGGGTGAATGCAAAGTTATCCCCTGCCAAAGCCAAGCCCTAGTGGTCTCCTTCTGTCTAAAGCTGAACTTCCCAAAGACTCTGAGACTATACTTAAGCACAGATTAAGACTAAGTCTGGAATCAAGTAGAAATGAAACTAAAGCTAGCTCTAGGTCTTGTCTAATTCAAAATAAAAAACTGAGTATTAACTATATTATCAAACCTAGAGGATGAAGGCCTATTTATTGTGGATGTAAGTGGTGATTTAGTCTAGTTCAATTTGGGGAGAAAAAAAAATCCTGATTGGTTACAGAGTTGAAAAACTCAGGGTATCTTTGCCATGGCTCTTCCATAGACTCTAAAGTCATTCCTGCTATACAGTTAGAATCACAGAATTTCAGAATGGGAAAAAGAGCTTATCCAAATCCTTCATTTGTCAGATAATAAAATGAGGCCCAGGAAGATTACGTAACTTCCCCTGGCTCTCACCACCATCTAGGGAATGGTGTCTCCCCGGAGACCAACCCCTTTCTCCTGGCAGTTGCTCATTGTGATAGGCAGCCAGCGAGGAACGGAAGCCTCCTGCCAAAAGCTAAGTGAGTGCATCTGGAAGTTGCCCTTCCAGCTCCAGCCAAGCCTCATAGGTCTGTGGCCCCAACTCCCAGCTCGACCATAACGTTGTGAGAGACACTGAGCCCAAAGCAGGCTGCTCTCAGGAACCTGGGTGAGATAAGTGCCTGTTGTGTTAAGCAATGTTTGGGGGACCTTCGTGTAGTAATAAATAAGTAAAACTATCAGAGCTACGACTAGCACAAAAAGCTTGAAGGGGGGGCACCTTGGTGGCTCAGTAGGTTAAAGCCTCTGCTTTTGGCTCAGGTCACGATCCCAGCATCCCGGGATCGAGCCCCACATCGGGTTCTCTGCTCAGTGGGCAGCCTGCTTCCCTTCCTCTCTGTCTGCCTCTGTCTACTTGTGATCTCTCTCTCTGTCAAATAAATAAAATATTAAAAAAAAAAAAAAGCTTGAAGGGCACACATAGTTTAGGGCTTACAAGAAAGTGATAGCGGGTGTCTCCAGTAGAGAAGCTACTTCACCAGAGTATTTAAACTAATGGGCACAAATTATTCAGTTCTCTTAAATAGGAACAGGAAAACATCTTTGAAAGGAAGCAAGTCCTATCTCCTGTGGAGAGACGGATCAGCAGGCTAGTCACAGGTTAGGAAGGCGATGCTGCTGGGTCATGTTCTACGTTGATGTAACATTGCCTCACCTTTCCTTCTCCATGACGGACTTCTACTCTGGGACAGCTCAGTGGAGAAGTTCATTCATATATATGGACCCATAGAGCTCTGAACCTAACGTGCTGAGCTCTGTTACTAACAGGGATCCAAATAGCAGGGAGATCATTCCCAAATGGGACAGCCATCAGCCATGACTTCCCATCACTGCTTACCTCCAAACAAAAAGGACAATCAAGTTAGTTTAAAATGTTACACACAATCAAAAGTGATGGTTAGAGACAGTCTCTCAGAGTGATATAACCTATCAAGACTTAGGGATCTACATCAAAAACAGCAAGTGACTCCAATAGAACCCAAAAGCAAATGCAGAGGACATGAAAAACTGTGGGAATACTTAGAACACCGGTAGAGCTGCAAACACCTTCAGAGAAAAGCCGCCTTGTTGACCATTTTGCAAAACACACTCCTGTGCTCCATTCAGAGCTGAGGACTTTGCACAGCCAGGGCTGAGCAGGAAGCTGGGTAGTCTGCTTTCTGCCAGTCCCAAGCTAACCACTCTGTCTGCATTTCCTGCAGCCTGAGCCCTCAAATAACTGCTCTGTGAAGTCCACAATGTCAGAATTCTGATTTGCATCTCATTCGAAGATACTGCTGGCAGAATAGCTCGTGCTTTTGTTTTTTGTTCTCTCAGAAAACACTGAATATCAGTTTATTTTCCAAGGAATGAAAGAAGCAAGTTTTCTCACAGCTTGCTAGTTTTTCCTGCCGACGGCTAAAAATTCAGATAAGCAAGAGACAAATTTCCTACAAGATATATTGCAGGTGCTTTCTTGAAGTTTTGCGATACATACAGCCTTCTGAGGCTCCATATTCAGTCCATTGGGTTCCAAACAGATCTAAAATGGTTCAGTTCAAAGGGAAATAGATGTTGGGGGCTAGAGTCCATTCTAAGATAACCACATTAGAGAAGAGTCATTAATACTATATGACTAGATCTGGTCTTAGGCTTTTAAACAAATTCACTTTAAAATAATAGGACTGTTGCAGCCAGCAAGGAAACAGACTTCTGGCAAGTCATATGTCTGAAATCTTGGATGGATTTGAAGAAAAAAGCAAACTTAAAGGCCCATGGGCTTCATCTCCTCTTGCGGAGGCTGAATGGGTGGGAGGATAAGACCACCTTTCTTACGCAAGAGAGCAATCTCTTCCTTTAAGGCGGAAATCCTTTCTGCCTGCAGTTGGATCAATTCGGTGACCTTCTGTCTTGCCACAATGTCTGCTTTCCGAGGGCCCTGGAAGGCATTGCCCTGTTGAAAGAAAATACCTCCCTGCTTTAAGCATCACATGGAATGTGAAAAATTCCCCATTTTTTTGTTAGTGCTAATCTGTCAGTTTAAATACCCATTACTCCTTATTTTAAGGGGCCTTCAATTCTTCCACTGAAATCCCACCATTAGAAATGTGCCCCCCTGGCCTAATGAGTAACTCTTAAAATGAAAATCCCATTAAGTGAGCAATCTGTCATTCCTACTGGAGAGAGCTCAGCACTGAAACCATAAAGGACGGGGTACCCACCCCCCTTTCTCTATACAGCCCATATTTCGTTTCCCAAAAAGGAAATCTCTATTTCCTCATCTGATTCCTTCCCTTGTCCAGTCAACTCCTGCTATGCTTCAGACATTAGGTTGTTGTTGTTGTTTTTTTTAATTTTATTTATTTATTTGACAGCGACAGTGAGAGAGAGAACACAAGCAGGGGGAGTGGGAGAGGGAGAAGCAGGCTTCCTGCTGACCAGGGAGCCCCATGTGGGATGCAATCCCAGGAGCCTCGGACCATGACCTGAGTTGAAGGCAGATGCTTAACAACTGAGCCACCCAGGCGCCTCCAGAAATTATTTTTAAGGCCTTTGTCCATGGACTAGATTAGGATTTCCTGTTCTGTGTTCTTTCAGAACATTGAACCATTAAAATTTATATCTGAGACTCCTTTTTTAGGTTGAAAAAGTGGCCATTTCATATGGTTCAACCTAACTGCCTCTGTGAGATCTTTCTTGCAAGATCCGGTGCCTTTAAGAGCTAGATGGATCTCACCACCCTATGTAGCACCCATCCTAGAGCATGGTACTTAAGTATAAGCTCAATAAGCTTTGAAAGCACATTAAAGGGAAGAAGATGACACTTATGTAGTATCCATTCTGTGCTTAGAGGTCAGGCAGTTGTCATGTGACTTTGAAGGAAACTTCAAAGAATCACTGAGACAATCAGAGAGCTATTGGCCCTGGCATCACAGGCCCACTAAGCCTAAAACCCTCAGTCATCACCTCCAGACCTCTTGTTAAGTGAGGAAAATGACCTTTGTTTGTTTAAGCTCCTCTCCACAGGGCTTTTGGCTACTTGTAGCTAAGCCCAGGCCTCAGCTCATGGCATCACTCCAGATGCTCACTTCGAAGTCACCGTAACTTGCCCTCGTTTTCCTTACCATACCCAAAGTTTGGCTATTCTTACTTTGAAATGTCTGATCCTTTTTTGTTCTTGCCACCTATATCCCAATTCATGCCTAGATTGCTGGAAGAATAACAGTAATGGAATCAGCTTTGGAGGTGGACAGACCCTGGTTTAAAAACTCAGCACCATGCATTACCTCTGCGGTAGTTACTTAACTACTCTGAGCTTTGGAAGGTACTGTTTTGAGAGTTGTAGTATGAAATATTCCATGTAAAGAGACTATACATGAAAATATATTACTTTAATACCATAAAAATTACCTATGTAAAGATAAGCATGGAAGGATCTGCTATGTAAAGAGACATACACTTAATTTTCTTCCCCATTCAACTGATCTACTCAAACTCTTCAGACTCTTTTCTCCAATATATCTGGACTTATCAAAACACATAAAGTCGGGGCACCTGGGTGGCTCAGTGGGTTAAAGCCTCTGCCTTCGACTCAGGTCATGATCTCAGGGTCCTGGGATAGAGCCCCGCATCGGGCTCTCTGCTCAGTGGGGAGCCTGCTTCCTCCTCTCTCTCTGCCTGCTTCTCTGCCTACTTGTGATCTGTCTGTCAAATAAATAAATAAAATCTTAAAAAAAAAAAAAGCACATAAAGTCAACAAGTGTTTATAACTGCTTATTATATGAAAATCGTGTTTAGGCATTAACCTCCTGGAACACTATCCTGACTCATCACTCAAAAATTCTTCAGTGGATAAAGGGCCCTTGATACTCAGATTTCTACTATCCTTTCATATGGAATTTCCAATGATAAACTTCCCAATTCCTCTTATTCATTCTTTCTGTGCTTAGGTGATTCTTGAACTCTAGCATGCCTCAGAATCTTCTGGAAGGCCTGTTAGAGTACAGGGCCTGTTAGAGTATAGGGCCCCTCTTCCAGAGCTGCTGATTCAGTAGATCTGTGGGTGGGGCCCGAGAATTTGCATTTCTAATAAATTCTCCAGAAGATGCTGATGCTGTTTTTCAGGGGATCACACTTTGAGAACCCCTGGCTTATACCATTTCCAGGATGCTTAAAGAAAACCAAGGGAAACAATGGGCATTTTTGCAGATAATATTGTAAGACTATGACATACGTTTTATAACATGTCACATATGTATTAGGTTCCTAGAGGTTCCTAGAGGATACTCACCTAGGTGAACCTTGAATCAGGTGAACCTGTATGAAATACATTGTCCACCATATACTATGTACTAAGTATTATGTCAGGCTCAATAAACATTATATAAGAACAAGTTGAAAGCCATAAAAATAACAAGTGTTTTAATAAAGTAATATGAGATCCCACAATTAAAGATACCACTTTAAATCAAATGAAATAAACACATATTGGAAATGGGTATTTGTTATAAATTTAGAGATTATTTTGGTGTCATTTGTACCTAATAATCTTAACTCACCGGGACTAAGGCAAACCCCATAGATTAGTACATATGTAAACTCATGGCACTCAAAAGGCATACAGTAAAGCTAATCCCTCAGGCTCACCTCTAAGTAGGTACCAGCAACTTCATGTCCTCAGGGACCGAGGTAGACTGGAAATGATCCAACATCAAGGTTTGTTTAAATGCCAGCACTTGACATTCTTATGAATAAGTACTTTCACAGAGCTTCCCCAACTCTGATAAAGGGTCTGAAGGAAAGAAACATACCTGCTGGTTCTGTAGTGTATTCAACCGAGAATCAAGTTTCTTCTTTTCAATACATAAATCATTCATCTGATGAAGCTTTTTGGTGTGTTCTTTTGTCTTCATCATCAACTCCCATCGCACCTGAGCAATCTTTTCCTGCCAGGGTGGGAGGATATAAAATGGGTTAAGTGAGTAAGAGAGGAAACAGAAAAATACATGCTCAGATTTGATCAAAACCATTCAGCAAATATGCATATGAAAAAAATACAATCGGAAATTGCTATGAAAATGCAACCAGAGCCAGCTGCATTGGCCCTGGCTCAATTAGAGAAAAGCAGAATGTGGGTATGCTCAAAGATACAAGGAGGTAAAAAAGATAGACATAGGTATCACTTCACTGTTGAAGAATAAAATCAGTATGCATACTGAGTGCACTATTCATTACTAAAAGGAAGACTATTAATTTAAGCAGCAGACTTTCATATATTTTTCTTTCCCCAGTCTTGGCCCAAGATCCTCAAGTAGCCAGCTTGCATGGCCATACATCTCCTAAATGGCTTTCCTTTGTTTTTTATTGCTCCAAAAATTATTTTAGATTGCACATATTATCTCCAGAATTCCCCTGAAAATCTTGGATAAGCAAAGATGAGACAAGATGACACTAGGAACCTCTTTTCCTGCCCTGTCTACTGATGAGATAAGATGGGAAACTGGAGAAGTCATAAGGACTTGGGGGCTTATAAAATCTTATACAAGCTCCTATCTTTGAATCTAGCTACAGTTGGGGCACTGCCTCCTCTCCTAGCTCAGGGAACAATGTAGGCAGTAACATCTTCTAAGACCCTACCAGCGAAATAGTCCAAACTGGTTATAGAATCTATTACTTAGAGATGTTTTCTAATTTCCAGATCCAAAGGGCATGTAACAGCTATAGGGAGAACTACAACTGGGATCCTCAAAGCACAGCGGTTCCATCTCTAACACTGTCAGAGCATTTATTTTACACTAATGGAAACCTCAAAATGGAATCTTGGTCATCGTCCATTCCATTTTGTCATATTTCCACGTACCCAGGACCCCAAAACCTATGCTGCAGCTTTCACCCCAAGACAGGCAAGTCCCTTCAACCAAGTGAATGGTCAGGATGCTGAGACAGGCCTAAGATCACGGGGGAGCCGAGGGGGGCCCACAGACTTGTCTCTGGCTACTCAGATGCTACTCAAGGACCACTGATAGCATTTCTTGCCTTGACCCACGTTCAGCCAAGGTGGGTCACCTGTCCTCTCGGCCGTACCTCCCACATCTTCATTTCCTTTGCATTCATTAACTCCTTTCGAAGTTTTTTGATCTTTAGCTCTTCAAGCGTTGTGTTCACGGAAAGTGTCTGAAGGGCTTCTAGGTCTATCACACGGCCAAACTTGCTGATCATTAGTTGATGGACTGTTTCTTCCATTTCTAAAAGAAGGCAGTACTGTCTTAGTGTGTTCAGTGGCCTCCACCGTTATTAAATGAACAATACCGGTAGCAACTACTTTCCAAAGAACAGCTTTTGTAAGAGGATGGTAAAAGATTTTATGTTACCAGTTGGCTTTTCCTCCATGACTCTTCACCTGCTCCTTTCCTCACTTAAAATGCCCAATCCTATGCTGTCTTTTCGTCTACTTGAAAATCCTGCGTAAAGCAGACTCCATTTTCCCCCAGCTGCTTCCACCCTCTGCTGTGCCCCTCCTCACACTGTCAAGGGCCCCAGCTGGAAAAGGAACTCTTCAGATTTTTTTTTTTTTTAACGACTGATCTCTACAGCATCTAGTGTTAAGAATAGAGCAGGCACTTAGAGGAAGTTTCCATCGTACTCCAAGTAAAAATTAAAGTCTGAGTCTCAAACATTCCAGGCTCACTCTCATCTCAGATCCCATTGACTACAATGTTCTTCCCCAAATAGCCACCTAGCTCCCTCTCACCAGCCCATTTTCTTTTTTCTTCTTCTTCTTTTTTTTTTAGGATTTTATTTATTTGATGGAGAGAGAGAGAGTGCATAGGCAGGGGGAATGGTTGAGGGGAGGGAGAAGCAGGCTCCCCACTAAGCAGGGAGCCCAATGTGGGACTCCATCCCAGGACCGTGGAATCACTACCTGACCTAAAGTCAGACACTTAACCGACTGAGCCACCCAGGCGCCCCCAGCCTACTTTCTAAAACCAAGTTATAAGAATCATTTCCAATACACTCAGTTCTGAAGGGGTAACCAAGAGCAGGTCCTTGTCCTCTAACCAGGGAAAACCACACTTTATCAGTATGCCACCTCTCCAGGGAGCTGTTCCTGGCTCCTACAGACCTGAGCACTCTCCTTTCCCATCCCGTCTTAATTTTTCTTCTTAGCCATGATCTCCATCTAACATGCATTATAATATATCTTAGTTTTGTTTACTGTCTTTCCTCAACACGATAACAGTGGAACTTCTGGGGATAATTCCATATGTGGAGTCTGACTCCCCAAGAAAATATAATCTTGTAACAAGACTTTCTTGGTCATTGGACTGCCCCCTAAGTGAAGTCTTGAAGGCCCTAAGGTATCAGAAGATGATAGAGTTCCGCAATGGTGTGGAGATTTGTATCTGGTTATGGTTGAATATAATGATTCAACTGGCATGACTGCCATTGTGTGTGATCCAAGAGGGGCTGTTCATGTGTATTCGATGTGAGCACAGTCCCCACGGACTTGTGTAATGTAGCAGCTGTGATAATCAGTGATGCAAAAACCACATGATGCTTAGATTATTTGCACGCATGTACTAGCCTGTGGCTGCCTGCTTGGCCTCAGTAATGACCTTTAGACTCTCTCCAGCTAGTGCCCTCTGCCATGACAGCCTCATGTACTAGGACGTGGACTCTGGTCCTTGCCATTCCCCCTGTGGAGCCAGCCTCATGCCCTTCTCCTGATTTGATGAGGCCAACCAGCATTTACAGGGGACATAAAGCCTTCTGGAATATTTTTACCACATGCCTTCTCCGTGGCCAAGAGCTGTGTTCTCCTTGAAATGAAGTAAACTCACCACTTCTCACCACCATGTTCTAGACTCTCCTCTTTGTTCACTGAGTCTGTCAAGGGAGGAAGGCAACAAAAAGCCAACTGTGGTGTTTCTCATCACTGCTAAGCCTTTGTTCTCTGGCTTACAGAAAAGGAACCTACTCCTACTTCTACTTTCAGAATCAGGAGAACTTCAACCAGACTCACAACTTGCTTTTCAGAAAATGGGTTGAGGGCAGGTGGGGAAAAGAACTGAAAGTTGCTGAATAAAACTTATGGAATTATTCCCTTTTATTTCCATTAACACTCTAAAAATTTAGGTATCTCATTTCATCTTCACACATTTTCCCAAACTTAGAATTTACCAAAACTGAAACAAGCTTCTTTCTTTGTTTTCACACTAGTTTATTCCTTGGTTTAATGAACAGTACTTTCAGATATAAACAACATTCATGGCCTACCGAAGCCAGAGGAATGAGAAGTACGTGAGAAGCACTGGAACCTCGAGGATTACACCTGACAAAACTGTGTGTCTCCAATCAGTGTTATTTAAACATGCAGTCTTAATGTGTATTTTTTTTTATTTTATACTCCAGCCACCCATGAAGGCAGAACAATCAATACTCACTGGAAACTGGCCTCTCCAAATCCAAGCAACCTAGACTGGTTGACTAGTTGACCACTATAGGCTTCCCATTTTTTTTCTTTTACAAATTAAAATATCTATTTTTTTTATTCAATTGTGGTAAAATACATAACATAAAGTGTATCATTTTAAACATTTTTAATTGTACAGTTCTGTGGCATTAAGATAGATACTAAGGTATTGGCAATATTGTTGTTTTTAAAGTTGGAAACTTCACAACGTACACTTTCTGTTCCAAATACCAAATATTCAAAATGTATTTTAAAGGATACTAATCTTTATACTGTGCATTTTATAATATCCACCACAACTCCAGATAGATTAAAAATGCAAATATGAAGAACACTACTAACAGAGAAACTATGGATAAAATATCTTTATGATCTCAAAACAGGAAAGGATTTCTTAAACGAGACATATACAGACACAATGCACAAGCCAAAAACATTGGTAAAATTAACTATATTAAGATTTTAAATGTTTATATCCCAAAGTAAAAAGGCAAGTCACAAACTAGAAGGAATCTGAAGTGCCTTAAAAGGCAGAATATAGAGCGCCTGGGTGGCTCAGTTGGTTGGGTGTACAACTTCAGCTCAGGTCATGACCCCAGGACCCCGGAATCAAGTCCCACATCAGGTTCCCCGTTCAGTGGGGATTCTGCTTCCTCTACCCTTCCCCCTGCTCATGTGTGCTCTTGCTTGCGCTCTCTCTTTCTCAAATAAGTAAATAAAATCTTAAAAAAAAAAAAAAGACAGATTATAGTAAGAACTCCCTAAAATCAATAAGAAAGCAAGAAGCAGAAGTAAAAAAATGGTAAGGTTTATAACAGGCAAGTTACAGAAAAGGAAACACAAATAAATGGCAAATAAATGTATGTGAAGATGTTTAACCTCACCGGAATTCAGGACACATGAATAAAAACCACAGTGAAATACAATTTAACATCCACCAAGCTGGCAAATATATTGAAGTATGACAGCATCAAATGTTCTTGAGAATATGGAGCCTGGGCCACCCTCACTGACAGGGAAGTGGCAGGTGGTTGAAGAGGGGGTTGAGATAAAATGGTACAACCATGTTGGAGGGCAGCTTGGCAATATACAGGAGTGTCTGCCAGAAATGCATAACACCCCTCTACAACCCAGACACCCCAGTCCTGGGGATTCACCTTCTCCCACGCATAGGGAGATGTGTACAAGAAGGTTCACTACAGCTCTTTCATCATGAAAAATTAGAAATAGCCAAAATATCCATCAACAGAAGATTGAAAAAAAAAAAAAACCCAACTCAGAGTCCTACAATGGAATATTGTCACGGCAGTTAAAATAAAAATAAAAAAATAAATAAAGTGAATAAATTACAGCAGTATGGATACCTCTCAAAAATCGGTTTAATAAAGTGAACTGCAAAATGATATGAATAACATTACAGTTAAAAACAAGCAAAGTCATTCTTTATGTTGTGTGTACACACATCTGCACGTGTTGCTCACCTGCCAGCCGACCCTGGGAAGGGTCCTGAGGAACAGTATCAGAAAGAAGGGTGTTCAGTTGCATCTTCCCTGTTTTGATTTCTTAAACTTGGTGGCTAGTACCTAGGTTACGTTACTCTATATTTCATCATGTGTTAAGCCTTTTAAACTTAAGAGAAATAGTTTCCACGATAAAGGATTTAGTCTTTAAAAACAAGAGGGTGACAATTCAGTGGTCTTAGGAGAAATGGTAGCTAGGAAGACAAGAAAGTGTTTCCTTGCTCTCAGTGGTTCTGATTCTGTGATTACTTACTTTCAGAGTTAATTCCCTCTCTTATCAAGATAGTACTAGATAATGCGTGGGCTGAGTTACTTACTGCTTATAGTTTTCGCCATCTCTCTCTTTTCTCGGATAAGCTGTTTGCGCCTCTCCCGGCATTCCTTGTTAAGTTTTTGCTGCTTGGAATTTTCCTCATGGAGCTCTATGATTCGTTCTTGCAGGCGTCCCAAGGAATGGTTAGAAAAGACCAAGGTTCCAGAAAGATCATTAGGAATTTCTCCAAATACTACATGCTCTACCTATCAAAACCAAAACGAAACCAAGATCAAACTAAATGTAAGATCACAGAAAGCACTTCCTTTTCTGTCCTTGTTTAGGTCATTGCCTTCGGACCTTGGTCATTCCCATCACTGAGTAAGGTAAAAGCTGAGTGGCCATCAGATCATAAGCCACGTTATGCCCCTGTATAGACAGCAAATCTTCCCCCAGACTATGCCTAATATCTGCTGCATAACCACAGAACAAACATTTCACGGTGGGTGTACTATGCAAATCGCTACATAAAACCAATCCAGTCTGGGTCAGGTTACACAAAATATATGTGAGGCCAATCCAAACTTTTCCTTCTAAAATACTTCTCTTCACCTGACAAAATGGGGTACGAAATGCATCTCTGCACCTTAATATAAGCTATAATTCTAATGAGTGTGGATATGAACAAAGAGGACAGAAAGAGAAAGGATGTTTTCCTTTGTCTTGCCCTCCCTCATTAACAAGCAAAGATTATGACAATTCTTGTATCATTAGTTCATGTCTATTTGACGATGGTGTGCAAAGGGACGTGTGCACAAGATCCAAGATTTTAATTTCCCAGCCATTCCATTCTTAAGTCATAAGCTCCCTGGGGCACCTGGCTGACTCGGTCGGAAGAGCATGTGACTCTTAACCTTGGGGTTGTGAGTTTGAGCTTCACATTGGGAGTAGATACTCCTAAAAAAATAAAAATAAACTAAAAAAATAAATTCAAAAAAATTAAGTCCTAGGCTCATTTCCTCAGACCTGAAACAATTAACTGGACTTTGGAAGTGATAATGAGCCATCAGGAAATATGTATGTGTGGCTATGACTCTCTCACAACAATCTGAGAACGGATAAGAAAAGTTGGGGTGTCATTATTCAGGTAGAATCCTCAGCAAAGGGCTGCACTTCTTCCCACAAGTGGCCCAAGAATCTTTTCTGGGAAAGCCTGGGTGTGCTGGCTCTTCTGCTTGGACAGGGTGGGGCACAGTCTCCAGACCCATCACCTGGTGGAGCTTGAGTGGAATCACCACAAGCAGTTCGTTCAGCCGTTGCTGCTTCTCCCGTTGGTAAGCCTCCAGGGCCTCCTCTGCTACATTCAGGTTAGCTGCCACAACTTTTACCTGCGGAAAGCCCCATGTGTGAAATGTGATAAATGGGGACATCTTGGGAGACGAGCAGGACCTGCTCTGTTGGGTTGCGATTAAATGAATGACCCCAGTTTGTAGCCCAGGAATGTGTATTATTTTCTTCCTGCTAAGTCATGATCCACACTGCTTTCTCAATCATTCCTATGTCTCCAGAGTAGTAAAGATCTCGTGACTAAGAGTTCAGAAGGCATGTCCTCATCTCCCTTTTATTTTCTGCATGAAAAGCAGCTCTCAGCATGGAATGTCTTTGTCAAGATGGTGGGAATCTCACTGGGCCATCAATGACCTCAATAAACAAAAGGAAAAAGCCCTTTAAAGGAACAAAACTACTAACTATGGTACTCATGAAGCATGTTTTTCATCTAAAAAATTTGAATTTTCCAAATCATTTTCTACTTACACAAGAAGAAGCAACCTACCAAAAATATTTGTGAATATGAAGTCTTAATGATACTTTCCAGCCACAATGCACTCAGCCAAAGAATGAAGTCAGAGAAGGAATTCTCAGAAACACACCATTATTGACTGTCTACTATTGCTACACCATTTGGGGTGTGAAAAATGTCCTCACATGTGTTGTTTTATTTACTATTACAGTGAACTCCTGCGAGGTGTCCCAATTAATGGGGGGCATTTGTGATCAATTAAATAAGGTCAAGATATCCACTGATCTATTTGACAAAATTGGTAATTGGGAATCTTATCTAAGGGATGTGGTCATAATTTTGGATCTAATACATGCTTCATGTTCATACTTTTGCATGTGCTGATGCATGTACCGTTTTATATATATATACATGTATATATATATATATATACACATGTATATATATATATATATATATATATATATATATATATATATATATTTAGGACTATGAATTAAGCAATGTTGCCCTAGGAAAGAGTATCTAAAAGAGAAAATTAGCAAATAAGGCAGAAATCAAACCCATCAACATAATTATACCGGAAGTTTAGCTTTATGGTCTCCAACACGAGATGCCCATCCCCCAGAGGGTAAATAAAGTGATTAGGGCACAGAAAGAAAAGATCAGTTTCTATTTCTATTTATTTTTATCTTATTCTTTTTCATTTCTGTTTTTGTGACTGTTTCCTAATATACAAAATATATTAGTAGAATAATTCATGGATATAATTCGTAAATAAATGTACATGTATTGTATATAATTTTTTTTACTTATAGAAGTATATAATAAAAAAGTTTGGAAATCAATAATGTAGATAAAGAAAGGCCAATCTTCAAAAGAACCAACGGCCCCCATCATAACTGTGTTTGAAGAGGAAAACCTTAAAATATAACACTTAAAATGTTTAGGGGCACCTGGGTAGCTTAGTCAGTTAAGTGTCTGCCTTCAGCTCAGGTCATGATCCCAGGGTCCTGGGATCGAGCTCCATGTTGGGCTCTCTGCTCAGCAGCAAGTTGGCTTCTCCCTCTGCTGCCACTCCCCCTATTTGTGCTCTCTCTCTCTCTGACAAATAAATACAATCTTTTAAAAAATGAATAAATAAAATGTTTCTTCTTTGTGGAGAAGGCCTAACTCCTGTCATTTCTATGAAACAGCAGTACAGTAGCTAGGAGGGTGGCTAGCACTGGGAGAGGAGAAGTAAGTAAGTATGTCATCATACTTTTTTGGATAGTGTATCATGTTCCTTTCTGAGGTTATCGATAATTTTCTTTTCTTCCACTAAGGCCTCCTCAATGTCCAGCCTTTTCTCTCGAAGTTGAAGGGCCAATTCAAAAAGACCCACATCGCAATCTGAAAAGACAGTCAAAATTAAAAGAGACCCCCACTGTTATGGAACGTACTGATATTAGAAGTGGGGATTTTGGAGCTTCAGAATTAATAATGACCATCTGTGGGTCCACTCTAGCACACTTTCATTCCACTTCAGGCTCCACTGTTCCAGGTGAAATTATTAACAATATAAGTAATCCTGATAGTAATTCTGATACCAGCACTGACGTTCTGAGCAGTACCATGAGCCAGGCTTTCTGTTTAGGCATTTTATTTACATTCTCTCTCTATCAAGTCTCCTAGGCCTTTGCGAGGTAGAAACTGTTGTTTCCATTTTATAGGTGAGGACCTGAAGTCTCAGAGAGGTCATGTAGCTGATAATGTGAACCAACGCAATTCAGGTACAGTATCTCTGTGTTAATTTCCACTATATCACACTATACTCCACCAGGCAATTGATAAAGAATGGGAAAATAAGAGTACTATAGTGGAATTTGGAAACCTGAGTTCTAGCCCTAGTTCCCCCTCCAAACTAGCTGTGAGACTTTTTTCAGGCCATTTAATCCTGCATTAAACAAGGATTGTTTACAAGGATCCTGCTGTTAACAAGTTGCATTATAATTTTTCGAGCTCTATTTTAAAATAAGATTTAAACTTTATTTGAAATTAAGCTTTAACATTTAATTTAAAATCCATATAAAGTGGCTACAAAAATAAATTTCATACCAAAAAGAAGTTGTCTTTTCTTTACCGGACTATTCATCTATTGAGCCTGGAAGAATATTGGTCTGGCTACTTCAGACTGGTTTTATCAGTGAAAACTGAGAATATAAATTGCTAAACATCTCCAGGGAACTGGCACAAAGTGCCCTTACAAAATGGATTTTAAATATGAAAATGTGAATGGGTTTGTCAAAAAGATAAAGCTTTGTAAAAAAAAAAATGTCCACATGCACACACACTACAATCTGTTATCTCTGCATAATTTGACTTTGAATCAACTATAAGTTATCTGCAAATTATTTGTCATTCATAAATGGCTGCCTAAGGGAAAAGAAAATAAATCATCCAGAGAGCCAAATATAAGTATTCATTAGATTACTTCATTCAATTTCAACCACGCTTCCCTCAAATTTTATGAGACAACTGAGAATCCAAAAAACGATCTCCTTGATATTATGAGTCCATGTTCACACTTCACAGAGAACAAATGGTTTTATCCAACTTACTTGTTGGGCAAATAGAATCATCAAAAACCTCATCATCAGATCCAGACTCATCTTCATCACTCTCTAAGCTAGATTCTTCTTCACTTGATTCATCACTTTCTTCATCTTCATCTAAATAGAGAGGAAGGCATTATTAATATGCAGAGAAGTCCCTGTGTTAAGCTAAATCTTATATTTCAAAAAATAAATTTTTTTTTCAGTGAGTCAATGGGAAGATAACAGATAAGGCAGGCAATTAGTCAAAGTTTTAGAAGTGTTTAAGATGGCAAAAAAAATATTACCCAAAGAAATCTACAAATTCAAGGCAATCCCTATCAAAACACAAATAGTATTTTTCACAGAACAAAAATGAATAATCCTAAAATTTATATGGACCCACAAAAGACCCTGAAGCCAAAGCAATCTTAAAAGAACAAAACTGAAGGTATCACAATCCCAGATTTCAAGATATACTACTAAACTATAATAATTAAAACAAGTCCGGGATTGAAGGTGGCAGAGAAGTAGCAGGCTGAGACTACTTCAGGTAGCAGGAGATCAGCTACATAGCTTATCTAAAGATTGCAAACACCTACAAATCCAACAGGAGATCGAAGAGAAGAAGAACAGCAATTGTGGAAACAGAAAATCAACCGCTTTCTGAAAGGTAGGACTGGTGGAGAAGTGAATCCAAAGCAACGGGAAGATAGACCGTGGGGGGAGGGGCCTGCTCCCGGCAAGTGGCGGAGCATCGGAGCACTAAATCAGGACTTTTAAAAGTCTCTTCCGCTGAGGGACATCGCTCCAGAGGCTAAACCAGGGTGAAGCCCACGCGGGGTCAGTGTGGCCCCAGGTACCACAGGGTCACAGAAGGACCGGGGGTGTCTGAGTGTCTCAGAGCTTGCAGGTATTAGAACAGGGAACCCGGCTACAGAGACAGAGCCGAGGAGTGAGTTCTCAGCTCGCGGTTACCTTGAACCTGTCGCAGGCTCAGTGAGCTCGGAGCGCGGCCGGAGGCCAGGGAGACGGGAGTGATTGGGCACTATTCTCTGAAGGCACACTGAGGAGTGGGGCCCTGAGCTCTCAGCTGATCCGGGCTAGAGACTGGGAGGCCGCAAATTTCATTCCCGTCCTCCAGAACTCTACGGAAAGCGCTCAGGGAACAAAAGCTCCCCAAGCAAACCTGAGTGGATTACTCAGCCCGGCCCCTGGTAAGGGCAGTGCAATTCTGCCTGGGGCAAAGACACTTGAGAATCACTACAACAGGCCCCTCCCCCAGAAGATCAACAAAAAATCCAGCCAGGACCAAGTTCCCCTACCAAGGAGTGCAGGTTCAATACCAAGGAGAGCAGCGGAATTCCAGAGGAGGAGAAAGCAAAGCACGGAACTCATAGCTTTCTCCCCATGATTCTTTAGTCTTATAGTTAATTTAATTTTTTTTTCTTTTCAATTTTTTTTTCTTCTTCTTCTAATTTTTTTTAACTTTTACCCTTTTCTTTTTTAACATTTTTTAACTAGTTTATCTAATATATATATATATATTTCTTTTTTATATTTTTTCTTTATTTGTTTTCTTTTTTTAATTGTTTCTTTTTTTCCTGAACCTCTTTTTATCCCCTTTCTCCCCCTCACGATTTGGGGTCTCTTCTGATTTGGTTAAAGCATATTTTCCTGGGGTCTTTGCCACCCTTTTAGTATTTTACTTGCTCCTTCATATACTCTTATCTGGACAAAATGACAAGGCTGAAAATTTCACCACAAAAAAAAGAACAAGAAGCAGTACCAAAGGCTAGGGACCTAATCAATACAGACATTGGTAATATGTCAGATCGAGAATTCAGAATGACGATTCTCAAGGTTCTAGCCAGGCTCGAAAAAGGCATGGAAGATATTAGAGAAACCCTCTCGGGAGATATAAAAGCCCTCTCTGGAGAAATAAAAGAACTAAAATCTAACCAAGTTGAAATCAAAAAAGCTATTAATGAGGTGCAATCAAAAATGGAGGCTCTCACTGCTAGGATAAATGAGGCAGAAGAAAGAATTAGTCATATAGAAGACCAAATGACAGAGAATAAAGAAGCTGAGCAAAAGAGGGACAAACAGCTACTGGACCACGAGGGGAGAATTCAAGAGATAAGTGACACCATAAGACGAAACAACATTAGAATAATTGGGATTCCAGAAGAAGAAGAAAGAGAGAGGGGAGCAGAAGGTATATTGGAGAGAATTATTGGAGAGAATTTCCCTAATGTGGCAAAAGGAACAAGCATCATAATCCAGGAGGTGCAGAGAACCCCCCTCAAAATCAACAAGAATAGGTCCACACCCCGTCACCTAATAGTAAAATTTACAAGTCTTAATGACAAAGAGAAAATCCTGAAAGCAGCCCGGGAAAGAAGTCTGTAACATACAATGGTAAAAATATTAGATTGGCATCAGACTTATCCACAGAGACCTGGCAGGCCAGAAAGAGCTGGCATGATATATTCAGAGCAGTAATGAGAAAAACATGCAGCCAAGAATACTATATCCAGCTAGGCTATCATTGAAAGTAGAAGGAGATATAAAAAGCTTCCAGGACAAACAAAAACTAAAAGAATTTGCAAACACCAAACCAGCTCTACAGAAAATATTGAAAGGGGTCCTCTAAGCAAAGAGAGACCCTAAAAGTAGTAGATCAGAAAGGAACAGAGACAATATACAGTAACAGTCACCTTACAGGCAATACAATGGCACTAAATTCATATCTCTCAATAGTTACCCTGAATGTTAATGGGCTAAATGCCCCAATCAGAAGACACAGGGTATCAGAATGGATAAAAAAACAAAACCCATCTATATGTTGCCTACAAGAAACTCATTTTAGACCCGAAGACACCTCCAGATTTAAAGTGAGGGGGTGGAAAAGAATTTACCATACTAATGGACATCAGAAGAAAGCAGGGGTGGCAATCCTTATATCAGATCAAATAGATTTTAAGCCAAAGACTATAATAAGAGATGAGGAAGGACACTATATCATACTCAAAGGATCTGTCCAACAAGAAGATCTAACAATTTTAAATATCTATGCCCCTAACGTGGGAGCAGCCAACTATATAAACCAATTAATAACAAAATCAAAGAAACACATCAACAATAATACAATAATAGTAGGGGACTTTAACACTCCCCTCACTGAAATGGACAGATCATCCAAGCAAAAGAGCAACAAGGAAATCAAGGCCTTAAATGACACACTGGACCAGATGGACATCACAGATATATTCAGAACATTTCATCCCAAAGCAACAGAATACACATTCTTCTCTAGTGCACATGGAACATTCTCCAGAAGAGATCACATCCTCGGTCCTAAATCAGGTCTCAACCGGTATCAAAAGATTGGGATCATTCCCTGCATATTTTCGACCACAATGTTCTGAAGCTAGAACTCAATCACAAGAGGAAATTTGGAAAGAACCCAAATACATGGAGACTAAACAGCATCCTTCTTAAGAATGAATGGGTCAACCAAGAAATTAAAGAAGAATTGAAAAAATTCATGGAAACAAATGTTAATGAAAACACAACGGTTCAAAATCTGTGGGACACAACAAAGGCAGTCCTGAGAGGAAAATATATAGCGGTACAAGCCTTTCTCAAGAAACAAGAAAGGTCTCAGGTACACAACCTAACCCTACACCTAAAGGAGCTGGAGAAAGAATAAGAAAGAAACCCTAAACCCAGCAGGAGAAGAGAAATCATAAAGATCAGAGAAGAAATCAATGAAATAGAAACCAAAAAAATAATAGAACAAATCAACGAAACTAGGAGATGGTTCTTTGAAAGAATTAATAAGATTGAAAAACCCCTGGCCAGACTTATCAAAAAGAAAAGAGAAAGGACCCAAATAAATAAAATCATGAATGAAAGAGGAGAGATCACAACCAACACCAAAGAAATACAGACAATTATAAGAACATACTATGAGCAACTCTACACCAACAATCTGGAAGAAAAGGATGCATTCCTAGAGACATATAAACTACCAAAACCGAACCAGGAAGAAATAGAAAACCTGAACAGACCCATAACCAGTAAGGAGATTGAAACAGTCATCAAAAATCTCCAAATAAACAAAAGCCCAGGGCCAGATGGCTTCCCAGGGGAATTCTACCAAACATTTAAAGAAGAACTAATTCCTATTCTCCTGAAACTGTTCCAAAAAATAGAAATGGAAGGAAAACTTCCAAACTCATTTTATGAGGCCAGCATCACCTTGATTCCAAAACCAGACAAGGATCCCATCAAAAAAGAGAACTACAGACCAATATCCTTGATGAACACAGATGCAAAAATTCTCACCAAAACACTAGCCAATAGGATTCAACAGTACATTAAAAGGATTATTCACCACGACCAAGTGGGATTTATTCCAGGGCTGCAAGGTTGGTTCAACATCCGCAAATCAATCAATGTGATACTACACATTAATAAAAGAAAGAACAAGAACCATATGATACTCTCAATAGATGCCGAAAAAGCATTTGACAAAGTGCAGCATCTCTTCCTGATCAAACTCTTCAAAGTGTAGGGACAGAGGGCACATACCTCAATATTATCAAAGCCATCTATGAAAAACCCACCGCAAATATCATTCTCAATGGAGAAAAACTAAAAGCTTTTCCGCTAAGGTCAGGAACACGGCAGGGATGTCCATTATCACCACTGCTGTTCAACACAGTACTAGAAGTCCTAGCCTCAGCAATCAGACAACAAAAGGAAATTAAAGGCATCCAAATCGGCAAAGAAGAAGTCAAACTATCACTCTTCGCAGATGATATGATACTATCATATCATATCATCATTTTATGCGGAAAAGCCAGAAGACTCCACTCCAAAACTGCTAGAACTTGTACAGGAATTCAGTAAAGTGTCAGGATATAAAATCAATGCACAGAAATCAGTTGCATTTCTCTACACCAACAACAAGACAGAAGAAAGAGAAATTAAGGAGTCAATCCCATTTACAATTGCACCCAAAACTCTAAGATACCTAGGAATAAACCTAACCAAAGAGGCAAAGAATCTATACTCAGAAAACTATAAAGTACTCATGAAAGAAATTGAGGAAGACACAAAGAAATGGA